TCTGCTCTTTCTTCCGTCATCGTCTCATCTGTATTTCCCTCCATAAACGTTGTGAAGGCAAAGTCGACATCCAAGCGGTCCAACGCCTGAGTCCTAAGTTTGCGCACAGTTTTGTTCTGAATGCTCGTGATGGTGTCCATCTATATCTAAGGAATATTTTATCCTCCGTTTGCGATATCTTTAATCCCCAACACAGCAGCAGTAAGGGACTCAGCGCGCAACACATACCTGCCTACGGGTAATTCCCGCTGCGGACGCTAGTGCATAAACACGGGTAATCCCCGGCGTATTCCGAACAGCAATCGCGAGTCCCCCTTACTGCTGCTTACCTAGCTTATGTCAAAGAAATACGTTGATCATGAGGTCGAAATAAATGGACAAAAATCTATAGAAAATAAAAGGCCAAAACGATTAAGAAATACAAAAGTATACGTATTCTATTTACTGTCATTACTATTACACAATGCAGTACAATGACATAAAACAAAACTGTGAAAAGACTTAGGTTGCGGTGCCTTTAATCTCTCCTGAGAAACCATAATAGTGTATTATTCTGCCTCAGTTTATTGTTATTAAGGTATGGAAGCACAACTCCGAGTGAAACAAGGTCTAGTACGAAGTAGCATTTGAGGCAGAATGTTGCAGCACAAATCAATCCGGATAATGGGGAGGGGAGAGTGGGAACTCAAGAAAGGGATGTTGGCTTGAACTTTATACCATTGTCAACCAATAATATCGTCTTAGCTGAGTCAAGGGACTAACATTCGCGCAGGAATGTGTGGAATTTTATAATTTCGGCAGAGTACTACATAGAGGATATTACATGGGCGCGCGGAGATACGAATCCTATTTTCGAGTGATCAATTGATATCTCACGAGTGAGAACAGCGAACGAGTAAGATATCTAAATTGAACACGAGAAGATAAAATTCGTATCTCCAAGCGGCCATGTAATTTTCTGTTAGTTATTATATAGTAATGATGAAAAGGTAAATTATACACCGTGAAAAGATGAAAAAACTTACTGACGTTTCGGACGCTAGTCCTTCGTCGGAGTAAGAGAGAAAGAAGTGGTAGAAAGGAGTGTATATATGATGGAATAAGAAAATAGAAAACAATGAGAGCAAGGTAGGCAAGGAAACAAAAACAACAATCAAAAGATAAAAGAAAAGGTTAGTTGAAAGTAAAGCGTTCATTAATCCCGTTGGGATTAATCACTGACCATTTTGTTTGTACCACTTCTGATGTTGTATATTGTATTAAATGTACCCGCTGTAATCTTTTGTATGTGGGCGAGACTGGCCGCCGTCTTGGTGATCGCATTTGCAATC